GGGGTCCGAGAGTCCCCGGATGCCACTTTGGAGGGGCCTCTGCCGGGCACAAGAGACAGGGAGGCGGAGGGTGGCCGCCGAAGAAAAACCAAGAGAAACTTGTGACTAGAAACGTGGGACGTTGACGTAGTGAAGGATCATGGAAGGACCTTGTCGAGATTTGCCTCCCAGAGAAAGGAGGCCAGGAACCTCAGAACCGTGGGTCGGTCTGCCCCCCGCGCCCCTCCTCCGGATCTCTCTCATTTCAGTATTACACCTCCACCCCTCCTCTTCCGCCTGTTTCCCAGCCCCCTCGCCAGCGTTCGGAGGGTCTGGGCAGATGGACGGGCTGGGAAGATCGTGGGCTTCTGCGCACCCTGTTTTTATGGCTCCTCCTCTCCCTTCTCACGTGCGGCTGGGGAGTGCCCCCCCTTTCCAGACTCATGCATGGCGAGAGAGAGTGCGCGTATGTGTGTGTACCTTGTGTCACTAATTAAGTCCCCCTGCCACCTGTGCCCACTTTCCTCCCTGCACAACTGAATGCAAGATGTCATCGGCGAGGACGTCGCACAGGAGCCTTCGCCTCTCCTCCTGGCCGCCCGAGGGCCCTTCTTCGCTGCTCGAAGCACAACTCCAGCCTTCCTGGAACCAGGGCTGGGGGCCTTGGCGCGGCGGCGTCCTGCTTTGCGTAGAAGTCTCCGGCCCCTTCCCTCTGCGGGGTACGGTCTGCCACCTTTTAAACTGCTGCACGTTTGTGTTTACACCGTTTATGCCAAGGGGCGGGGAAGCTGGAGTGCAGAGGATTTCTTGCCCCCCGAGTGCCCCCGTGCTGCTACAGGAATTCAGGCCGGTCCACAGAAGATTCCCTGGGGAGCACCGCCCCCTTTAGCTGGGACGTGCTCCACGTCCTTCCCCTTGGGGGGCCCCTCAGACCCCAAGGCTTCCACGCCCACCCTTGGCCAAACCAGCTCTCTTTTCCCACGGCCCGCCTCCAGGTCCGGCCCCAGTGGAACTGAGCAGAAAAGCCCCCCCCTTTCCAGGAGCCGTGTCTCTTTACAGGCAGAGCCCACCCCCCTTGCCTTTGGGACTGCGGAAAAGGGTCTCCCCGGCCTCTGTGCTTTGGAAAGTGTCCCTGGGAAACATCGGTGCACAAGGCAGTTTCCAGTATGAATTTCAGGCCTGGCTCTGCAGGGAGGTGTCCCTTTGGGATTCCTCGCCCCTTGGGGGGTGGGAGGGAGGCTCACCTTTGTCGATCCTTTGACTCGCTGAAAATGTGACTGTTTGTTTGGTCCTTTGCGACCCAAAGGAAGCCGATGGGCAGATTTGGAATTCGTGCTCTGAAGTTCGGCGGTATCCTAAGACCAGGGGAAATTGTGTCTGTTCTCCGTCTTTTTCCCTTTCTTGTCCGGTCTCCCCCTTTCTGAATATGAACTTTTTTTCACACTGTACCAAACTTGTCGTGTGTGCCTCGTTCCCCCTTCCGATGCTTAACCTCCCCCCCTTTTTTTAAACAAAAAAGGAATCTCTTGATTGTTGGCTGATAATTAACGTGGGAAACAGATGCATGAGAGGGGAAGGGAGGACAGGGCCTAATTTATCGGGGCCTTCTGTTTTTAAATTACCTCTGGGGTTCCTCCCCACACACACCCTGCACAAAAAAAGTGGGGGGGGGGGAGAAGCAGTGATTCTCAGCCTGGTTCTGCAGCCAGGTGACTGTCGGGAAGCCTTTAAAGAAAACTTGGGCGTTTTCCTGCAAGAGGCCGGGAAGAGGGTTTTCAAGGTGTGCGTGTAATACGTTGCACATGGAAAACCAATTTCGCGTGTTCCTGCAGAGCGTCCCGGTGCAGCGCCCTCCAAATGGGTTGGATTGCAACTCCCCTCAACCCCAAGACTGTGCCCGTGTGGGTTGGAGAGGAAGGGAGTTGTGGAAGTTTGCAAGACACCGGGCAAGGGAGCAGGGCACAGAACATCTGGGGGGGCCTGCAGGGCAGGAAGAGCCCCGGTCTCCAAGAGGGCTGGCCCTGGCATTGCTTGGGAGAGCCATCCCTTGTGGTGCCCAAGGAAGGCACGAGGTCCCCT